TATTCACAAACAAAAAGTATTTACAGTAGTATGCATAAGACAAGATTCAATCCAGGAAAAGCTTCTTGGGTTGTACGAAACCGTAATCTGAAGAAGTTTGAGGTGAAATACTTTCAACACTAGTGTTTACCTTGATCACGGATCTTATCCCTTCTACCAGCGGACATGTTTCGAGCAATTTTCCTCGAACGTGAAGATAAGAACGAATAGAAGTCCTCATCGTCCCTCACGGTATTGGGTGGAGTGTGGAACATTGTTTCATCTAAAGTAATAAACAAATTGGAACTTTAAGAAAAGTGCGTACCTGATTCCGTATTGATTGGTAGACTCGTAATGAACACTTCATCATCATCTTGCCCACATTCATCAATATTGTCGATCTTCTCATTAGACTCGCGACCAAATTGGAAGAAGTGAGCAGTGGTAGGAGTAATAGCGTCAACAGCAGTGCGGCCATCTTGGAACATATCGTCCGCAAAGTTTCTCTGTCCTGTGGTCTCAACGCTCTCAAAAACTGGAAAGAGCTCTTCTTGGATATCTTTCTCTTCATATTCTGTTACAACAACTAAAAACAATAGCTATGATTCAAAAAGCATGAAAGACTTACTAGAAGGGTTTCTACGATTTTCAGATGATTGGTTTGGGTATGATTCAATTTCTACAATTCTTCTGTCATAAGTTTCCATCAGAACACTCTGATCAAGGAAACGGCCGACGATGGGACTGATGGGACTGATGGGATCACGCGGAAAAACTTCTTCTGTGATTCGAGGAGACGCAGAGTGGAAGATCAAATCCATTATATCCTCGTACCTAAGGGACGGTGACTGATCTAGGCTTTCATCTGGGTAAGAATCTAGAAGAAAACATGAAGCATAAGAAGAATGAGAATATTTACTTTCTTTGTTCTTGAAATACGACCGAAACATCTCAGGAGTCGCATTGATGAATGAGAAGTCGTTGTTTCCATCACAGTAGTTTCTATCGTTCTCCGGACAGTTGGTATCCTCTGTATCTTCGGAGGCAATCGATGAATCTTCAACTTAAACAAAAAGGAACTGAGTTCAGAAAAACAATTCAAAAGGAACTCACGACCGATCAGGAATGCATTCGTATCGAAGTGGAAGTGATGTTGATCAGATCTTACAACAGGCATTTGTTCGTTCATCATCTCATAATAAGCCAACTCATCCTCAGGATCGACGTCTGGTATGACGTCTTAATTAAAGTATGAACACATGATATTATAACAATACTTTACCTGAATCATTGAGCAAGTTGATGAAGGATCGGCTGTATATTGGGCTTTTCACATCAGGTGGACTGAGCAGTTCATCTTCTGAATCGATTGAGTAGTCATCGAAAGCAGGATGTTCAGGCACGACATGATCTGAAATATATATTAATAATGTACTGTAACTTATAAATGTACCTTGCGGGGATTCAGGACGGTTGAAGTGAAAAGGAGCATAAGGCAAGTAAGGGTTGTCATTCAGCTGGTTAGGAGAGTTGTTGTGATGAAAACGACATGGGAAGCCTTTAATAATTGAAAACAGTACAAGAAAGAAACATTTTAAAATAACCTTTTCCAGAAAAACGAAATCCTTTACGATCAGACATCTACAATCAATCTTCGAGCAGATAAATTACAAACTGAATGGAAAAATAAAAACAGTACAAGAGTTACGAGGACTATAAATGAAGATGCAAATAATAAAACTAATCATCGAAGCTAAATAAAATAAATTTAAAAAACAACAAGAAAATGAAAAAACACAAAACTTCAGCTGATTTACATTGCAAATGGATGAGCGAATGACGGGCGCAACTCCACGCGTTATGTTTACAAAGTTTTGAATAAACAACATGTTTACGCGCGT